GCCAACACTCAAGAAAGACCAAGAGTGAGGCTACTCACCGAGTCTGACTTTTAGATGTTAGAGCACAAGCCACAGGCCCTGGGGGGCGACACACCCAAGTTCACCCCGCGTCCCTACGGCCCTCAAAGGTCCTAGCTGGGCTGAGACGTAACAGGAGCTGTCTGTGAGACGCGTACATCGGGCCTGCCTCGTACGGGAGCTGCTGTGAGCATTAAATGAGATCATTTTAGTAAGATCTGCACGCTGCCCAGACCCCGACGGGAGCTGGACAGCGACCCTCAGCTGAGCGACTAATCGCTCTCCGGACACAGAGACCTTACAGAACGGCCCCTCAGACTGCGTCACATGACTCCTCCTGACCTGCACACACACGGACCCTTCTGAGTCTGGGCACCCAGCTCCAGCCGCCCTGGGGAGACATGCGAGAGCGGCCTCAGCTCCACTTCTGGAAGTTTTTCCCGAAAACAGTGCTCGGAGGATTCAGCTCCTTTTCTCCAAGAGTCGGCGGCCCAGGGAGGCTGAGGTGGCGGTTACCACCAGGGCTGGGCAGGCGGCTAGGAGCTACGCGCCACCAGGGCTGGGCAGGCGGCTAGGAGCTACGCGCCACCAGGGCTGGGCAGGCGGCTAGGAGCTACCCGCCACCAGGGCTGGGCAGGCGGCTAGGAGCTACGCGCAGGGCCCATACCCGTCACTGCTGCCGTGCATGGAGTTCCCATGGTAGTTTCAGTTTTGGAAAATGCAGAGAATATGCGGCCGGTGCTGAGGCGTAGAAGGTCATGCCTCCACCTGCAGCGCCGTATCCCATATTCAGGGCGCCCGTTTGTGTCTCAACTGCTCCACTGCTGATCCAGCTCCGTGCTAATGGCCTGGGAAAGCAGTGCAGGATGGCTCAAGTCCTTGGGCCCCTGCACCCATGTGACAGACCTGGAAGATGCTCCTGGCTTCAGATCGGCCCAGCTCTGGCCGCTGTGGCCATCTGGGGAGTGAACCAGCAGATGGAAAACATCTCTCTTTGTCTCTGTGTCTGTTTATCTGTCTGTCTGTCTCCACCCTCCATTCTCTGCCTTTCAAATAAATAAATCTTTTAAAAAATAAAAAAAGCATGGTCTGGCAGATCAGAATTTTAATCTGAATTTATCCTCTGCCCTTGGGAAAACATGGAAGCCAACACCTCACCAAAGGGCACGGAAGGGATTCTGAGTGACCTAACCCCACAAATAGCTCAGCTCAGGATCTCTCCATGAGCGAAAGGGATGTGGACGGACTCCCCTGGAAATGAGAGACTGAGGATCCAGCACTTAACAGAGGAAGCCAATCAAGGTCACGGCCTCGGCTAATCCCCGCCCACACCCATGCAAGGGGTGCTTCTCCCGTACTCTAGCTCATGGGGTGGGCTTTTCAAGAGAACGCAGCCGTGTCTGTGAGAGCGTGTTAGCGCTGCCCGAGTTTCTGCTCTCAGTGCGGGGCCAGGCGGGCCTCACGGCAGCGGTGGAAGCAGGCCAGAGGCGGTACTTCTGAAAAATCTATTTGGAGACATCAGAGAGCTACCGAGGAGGCGAAGGCATCAGGAGCCCCGATCCCGGAGAGCACAAAAAGCCACCAACGCACAGCTGCTCCCAGGGCTGGCCCTGGCCACAGGCGTGGGCTGAGCGAGACTGGCCCTGCCAGGGCCCGGCGCCCAGACCTGCCCAGGAGCCCGGCAAACCCCAGGCTTAGAGCGGGGCCCTTCACGGCACAGCCCGGGAGGGAGAACGCACGGCAGCCGGTCCTCCCTGGGAGGGCAGTGCGGCTCCGTGACGGCCGCCCCTCAGACCCCTGCAGCGCATCGGCTGCTCCTGGGGAGGCGACAGCCCTCCACGCCTCAAAGACTAAACCTTCACAGCAACGCGGGAGCGGCAGCCTGCAGACCCAGGCTGGCGGATCAGAGAGCGAGAAAGGCCGAGACCCGAACCTCACCGCGTGTGCACACGCCCTGGGCAACAGACAGAACCAGAGGGGAGAACTTCTGCCTGAATCAGAGGCGGGGGTGCTGCTGAACCAGTCCCTTTAAAACAGGCCCTGTGTGGGGCAGGGAGAAGTGAGCTCTGCACAGACCCCTCACACCTGCCCACTTGGGGTGTCTGCCAAAGTGACGCTCCACAGCGGGGAAGGATGGGAGAGCAAGTTCTGGAATGTTCTTCCCGTGATGTCGGACGTGTGGGGCTTCACTTTGTTGTTTTTGTTTTCTTGGACGTGCACATCATCATGGATTTCATCCCCAGATTTCTAATCAGCTGCCCTACATATTAATACTTAAATTCTACAGGAAACAGTCGATTCCACTTGGATTTTGACTGTTTAATTTTTGTAAGCACCCTGCATCCTTACTAATAAAAACACACCATTCTGACTGCTATGACCTAACATGGTTATCTCTCCATCAGTTCCTCCATTAGCTCATTTGTTAGGCGCAATTAGAGGCATCATTAGCCAGGGAGTGAATTCTTATCGTCACAGTTACAGACGTCTGGTCTTGGCCTGAGTGCAGCAAAGAGACCACACTAGCTCTCAAGAAGGAAAACAACTCCAACAGCGGATGATAATGCAGGATGCACTGCCAGCCTGCGGAATTAAGTTATTAACGGAAAGGCCAAGCTCATCTCGGCTCATCGACGATGCAGCCAGCCACATCCAGGAAGAGGTCGTCCCCTGAGCCATGAGGAGGGGCCGGCGGCTGGTGCCCCCTGGCTGCCGTCCTTCAGAGGCCGTGGTGAGGTCACTGCTCCACCCACCTGTCTCTGCCCCGGAAACTCACGCTAGCTCTTAGCTCTCCACTTTTTATCCAGAACTGAATGAACTTCCACCCCAGATTCTTTCACGGAAGAAAGCCCAGGGTGGAGGGAGGGAGAAAGCCTCTATTCCAAATTAATCCAAGCAGGAGAAGGTAGGGAAACTGTACCCGGCCTGAGGGTGACAGCTTGGGCACACACTCCTGCCCTGAACAATTCACAACCAGGGACCCCAGTCTCTCTCAGGCCCACACTCCACAGGGACACATGGGGAGGCCTGGGGGCTCCACCCAGCAGGATCCGGTTGTGAGGCGCCCTGCGGGGAGCCGGAGGAGGACACCCACAGGGGTCAGCGCAGAGGCCGACAGGGAGGACAGGGGCTGAGAAGTCAGGCGACCCCTGAACGAGTGGGTGCAGGGGCCTCGTCTAAGCTCAGAATGAGAGCGAGGCCGGCGCGGCAGATCCAGGCCCAGTGAGCTTTCCCAGCACCAAAGCACAGCTTCCCAAACAGCCCGAGGCCCGGTAAGTTCAGGCAGTCATCACAGCTGAGTTCCTGAGGCCAGCGTTCAGAACAGTGAGCCTGGCTGCCGGATGGGCGGGCGGGCGGACAGATGACACCCGCCCAGAACCACGCCGGCGTCTGCTCAGGCTGCTGCTGCTCACTGCCTCCAGGTGACTCGCTGCTCTTAAAACATGAGAATCAGAAAAGAGCACAGTATTTCCAAATCAGCTCCTCGGGAGGTGTGTGTGTGTGTGTGTGTGTGTGTGTGTGTGTGTGAGAGAGAGAGAGAGAGAGAGAGAGAGAGAGAGAGAGAGAGAGACCCCCACGTGCTCACCGAGTGCCCCCGGACGCCCAGAGCGGCCAGGCCTGAGCCGAGAGCCAGGGATGCAGTGCAGAACCGCACACGGGCTGTCAGGTCCCAGCTACCGGAGCACCACTGCCGCCTGCCAGGCTCCGTCTTAGCAAGAAGTTGGAGTCGGCGCTGAACCCTCCTGGGGCGGGACACAGGCACCTTAGCCAGCATCTTGATGACGAGGCCAAACAACCATTCCCAGAGGGCACCGGTTTTAAATCCTAACAGCTCACTGTGTTCCAGGAATGCCCACGTGGCTCCCGTCAAGCTGAGCCGTCTTCTCCCACCCACCTGAGGACCCAGACCCTCCGGGCAGTGCTACACAGCCACAGCCTCTGAGAGCGGCTCGCAGCCTGCAGCAAGCTCTCGAAGGGGTGGGCGGGGAGGGGCGGGGAGCAGGGCGCCCACCCGGTAAGCACCAACTCCCTGCAGGCGGCAGCAGCACCCGTGGCCTCACAGGCACACGGCATCTCTCGGGCCTTTTGTCGGAGCACTACGCCCACTTGTGAGGGCTCTGACATGTGGCCTCGTCCCCTCCCCAAGGCCCAGCCCTGGAGCCTCACCCCGGGGTCGGGTGCGAACGTGTGAGTCTGGGGGAGACACTCGGACCACGGCAGAAGGGAGTGGTGCTCCCCTTGCCGCACATCCCACGCCCATCTCCTGCAGGTACCTTCCCCCCACAGGGGCTCCTCCATCCATTCAGCTAATACCCAGGCTGTGTCGGGGCTCCCCCCATGTCTCTCCTACCCTACACTCACCCTGCACAGCTGGCCGTGCCCAGCGTGCACCCACCAGGCCTCTTTGTCATCTTCCACTTCCACCCTTTCTAGCTGACTTGATGGACCCAGCAAAGGGCTCCCATGAGTCTGTGGGATTCTGAGCAGGTCGGGGAGGCAACAGACATCCGTCTGGCGCGCCCTGTCCCCACCGCCTGCCTGCGCCTCGCTCTGGGGCAGAGTCCTGGGCACCTCCACCCCTCACACCTCTGCTCTGCACGGTGGGTGAAGGCGTGACAACCGGGCTGTACGGGAACCCAGAAGGCTGAGGGAAGCGGCTGTGACGCCATCCTCGGAGGTCCCGAGTCTCCTGAGTGTGGGGACGCCACACGGACCACCAGGACAGCACACACTCACCCGGCCACGGTTCCCACCAAACGCGGCCTCCAAAGTCCCCCTTTGGAGGACTGGAAATTCTGGCCGCCGTGGGGAAGGTGAGCAGGTGTCCCAGGGCCCTCCCCACCCCCCACTCAGCAGCAGCCTCCGGCGCCCGAGGAAGCACCCCCGCCCCCTCCCTGCCGCTCAGGCGGCCGCGCCAGGACCTGTGGGTGTCAGCAGGCGCAGCCTCCCGGGAAGACGGGGCTGCACGCTGGGCCACTGACCTGTCAAACAGCTCCCCTCCCGTGACGAGCTCCAGGACCAGGCTGATCTCCGTCGGGGTTTCAAATATCTCCTTGAGTTTTATCTGGGGAGAGGAGAAAGGCCACGTACTCCTTACCTTCTCGGTTCTTGGAGACCGGGGAGACCGCGGCTGAGACAGCAGTCTGCCGCGGCGCCACACTGGCTCGTGGCGGACGAAGGCCCTTGCTCTGCACCTGCCGCTCCCATCAGCCACCTCACACTGCCAAGATGCCACAGGGTTCTGACACCGTGCCTTTTAACAGCCGAAAAGCAGCTGCCTTTGGAACATTCGCTACATTCCGCCAACTGCAGAATCTGGACAAAACCAACTAAGAAGCCGAAGACACTTGAAGGCATCGTGGTTGCCAGGGATGAAAATGCCTGCTTCTGCTGGAGGCCAGGCGTGAGGGGCAGGGAGGAGGTGGGGCGGGGCAGGGGGGAGGTGAGGGGCAGGGGCAGGGGGGAGGTGAGGGGCAGGGTGGGAGGTGGGGTGGGGGCAGGTGGGAGGTGAGGGGCAGGGTGGGAGGTAAGGGGCAGGGGTCGGAGGTGGGGCAGGGGCAGGGTGGGAGGTGGGGGACAGGGGAGGTGAGGGGCAGGGGGGAGGTGAGGGGCACGGTGGAAGGTGGGGCAGGGGCAGGTGGGAGGTGGGGCAGGGCAGGTGGGAGGTGGGGGACAGGGGAGGTGAGGGGCAGGGGGGAGGTGAGGGGCAGGGTGGAAGGTGGGGCAGGGGCAGGTGGGAGGTGGGGCAGGGGCAGGTGGGAGGTGGGGGACAGGGGAGGTGAGGGGCAGGGTGGGAGGTGAGGCGGGGCAGGTGGGAGGTGAGGCAGGGCATGGTGGGAGGTGGGGCAGGGGCAGGGTCAGAGGTGAGACAGGGGCAGGGTCAGAGGTGAGGGGCAGGGGGGTGAGGGGCAGGGTGGTAGGTGAGGGGCGGGGCAGGTGGGAAGTGAGGGGCAGGGGGGAGGTGAGGGACGGGGGGAGGGGCAGGGCAGGTGGGAGGTGAGGCGGGGGCAGGGCTGAGGCTCTCTGGACTCAGTGTGCTGCGCAGTGGACCCGCTGCTGCAGGTGAGGCGTCCCCGGAAAAGCGGGAGCAGCGGTGATGTGACTCGGGTAAGCCAGCTGATCTCGGATGCTCCCTCTGCACATCTGAGAAGCCAGGGGCCAGGACGGCTCTACGGTGGTGCGAAGCCCACTCTGACCCCTCTCTGGAATCCAGGAGACCTGTACGAGTGGTGGCCAAGCCGGATTCTGTCCAGCACTTTGGGCAAACAGGACCCTGAGTTTGTTCAGGGAAGCAGCTGTGGATCAGGACAGGTCTGAGGCAGAGGGTGGCCCTGGGCCTGGTTTGCTGGCCTCTGGGCAGTGGACAGTGGGCAGGGGCAGCTCTGGTCAGTGACGCCCATGGTGGAGCAGCCCTGTGCAGCTGGGTGCCTGACAGCCTGGTGGCCTCCTCTGGGGCCCTGCGCACCCCCTCCATCCTTTTCCTGTGTCCAAGGCAGAACTGTGCTGAGACCCCGCAGGACCAAGGGGCACAAGCATAGGGGAAGGCGGAGCCGAGGGCAGTGCCCGGGCGCTGGGCGGCGCTCCTGAGAGCCGAGCCCATGGACAGGAACACCTGCCCCTGCCCTGCCGGCCCGGTGCGTCCCTCAGCTTGGCCCTCAGCACTGTCGTCTCCCTGTGACACCACGGGCTTCTGTGACATCTTCTTCAAGGGGACACCTCGCTTCTTAACGACCAGCAACAGCCCCGGAGATGCCTGTGCCCTTCTCCCTGGCTCACGAGGGCTCCTCCCGGGCCCTTCCCTTGGGTGGGGTCCACACCTGCCCCAAGCAGAGCCTCGCCACCCCTCAGCAAGCGTCTCAGGGTGCTCCTGCACCCAAGAACCTCACAGGAGACCCCAGAGCCAGAAAGTCACGTGGTCTCTTCACGGCTCCCCAGCACCCGGGTGTCCCTAAGACCGGTGCAGGGAGGAGGCAGGCCAGGTCGCCAGGTCTCATCCTCTTACGCACGCCTGTGCATTTGTGAGCTTTCTGGGAGCAGATTCATTCAGCCCGAGAACTGAGACGGATGAGGACAGACACGAGGTGGCCACCAGAGGCAGAGGAAATCCCTTCTGGTCATCTGCAGGGACAGGGAGGGACCAAGGCCCTGCTCTGCAGTCCGGGACACTAATGGGAAGAGGTCAAAAGCCACTTACGATGTTGGGGTGGGAGAGGCGCAGAAGGACTCCTATCTCAGTCCGCACGATCTTCTTGTCCACCTGCAAGGCAAGGTCAGAGAGAAGCTGAGGCAGACTGGCCTGGGGTCCGAGCAGCAGCAGCAGCCCAGTCCCGGGCCCCAGACTCCACCTCTGTCTGTCTCTCTGTGGCAGGAAACAAAGCCGCAGGAGCTCCGTGCTCCGTCTCTACCCGCAAGCTCCCTCTGCCTCTGACCTCAGGGACCACTCTCGTAGGTTGGTCTCGGCCTCCTCTGGTACGCGTGTATGAGACGAGTGACTGACGGGCCAAGCGGGGGTCAGGCCCCTCCACTGACCACGGCTGGCACACACTAAGAACGCCTTCGCCGACGTTTTCTTGTTGTTGGTTGTTTGTTTGAAGGAAATCAGGAGCCAACAGACAACTTGGGAGAGAGAGCTTTCATCCACTGGTTCACTCCCCAGACACAACGGCTGGGGCTGGGGCTGGGGCTGGGCAGGCTGAAGCCAGGAGCCCAGCGCTCCTTGGGGTCCCCCACATGGATGACAAGGACCCAAGTACTCTGGGCCATCACCTGCTGCCTCCCAGGGTGCACGAGCAGGGAGGGGGATGGCGGTGGAGGCAGGACTCAACCGCAGGCACTCTGACAGGGGACGCAGTGTCCCAAGCAGCGGCCTGGCTCCTGTGTCCCAGGGCCGCCCTTGCTGACCACCTGAAGTGATGTTCCCTCTGTCTCCCACGGGCACTAGGCCCCGAGGAACTACTTCCTGATTCTTTCAGATCCTGGACTGGCCGATAAATGATTAATAGTTAATTATCAGTAACTCCTGCCATCATATTTAACACAGAGAACAGTGAGTGTTTACTGGTAACCCAAATGCACCCCTTTTGCTAGGAATTCTCTTAGATCCACACGGGAAACTGAGGGAGGCAGTGGCCCGGCTGGTGGGTGAGCCCCAGCCCGCCGTGGCCCCTGCTCCCGGGCAGGGACCGTGCCCACTGTTGATGCTCCTACTGACAAACGCTGAGGAAGCAAACAGCGGCCCCGTCCGGGAGGGAAGGTTGGCATGGACGTCTGGACAAAGCCGCTTCTGAGATCTCCGTGCCCTGCAGGGCAGGAGACAGCCCCTGGCTTTCCTCACATTCTCAATGTGGGGAGCAGCCCGGACTTAGACTAAGTTACTGGAATTAAGACTTATTCTATGCATCTGCTCTCCCACAATATGGCGCTGGGAGAGAAGAAAACAGTTTCTACACAGCTGCCTCCAGTTCAGCCAATAAACTGTAGGACCTGCTCCTGATTGGAGGAGAGCAGCGTACTCGGCGTGTGGGCAGCCGAGTTGGGATTGGCAGAGGAGGACTATAAAGGAGGAGAGAGACGGCATGCACCAGGAACATCTAAGGGGAACACCTAAGGGGAACACCTAAGGGGAACACCTGTGCAGCCCCCGAGAGAGCCGGCCGGCGGTGTGCCGCTCCCCTGCGGAAGTGGGGAATGTGGCCAGGGGGAACTGCCCTTCCACGGAGGTGGAAGGGACAGTAGCCAACCCGGGAAGAACCAGCAGCAAACCCGGGGAGGGCCGAGCAGACGAAAGAACAGCGCAGGGTCCTGTGTCGTTCCTCCACGAAGAGGGGGAGCGACACTCAACACTTCCGAGGCAAGAAAGTATGCATTTAAGAAAAGCTGGACCATTTAAAAATGAGAGAATGTGTCTCAGGGAGCTGCAGTTTCAAGGGCGCCCGTGTACTCCCTGATTGTGGGACGAGTGCTCAGGAGTGAGATCTACCGAGGGTCCTCGTGCTCAGCCCCATGGGGACAACGGGGGGCAATGGGGGACAACGGGGGGCAATGGGGGGCAACGGGGGACAACGGGGGACAACGGGGGACGTGCGACACCAAGCAAAACGGGCCTTCCTGCAGCGAGATCACGGTGCAGCTGTGGGGTGGGGTGCTCGGCCCCACACCCCTGTACCGACACAGGGAATACTCACCATCATTTTCCACACAGTGAAACACTGCGAACATTCAAATGGGGCCTCACTCTAAAAGACTCTGCCGTTACTAGCCAATTAAAGAATCACACGACTGTTCGTCCCGGACATGGAATGCTCTGCTCGATTGTGCGAGGGCGCAGGAGGCTGTGAGTGTGCTGGCTGCTGTGGCTGGTGGGGACGCAGCATGGCCCAGGGCGGGGAGGGGCTCTTTTGCTGTTGAACTGGACACAAGTAGGGGGTATCTGAACAGAGAGGCACCTGCTGGACACTGAGCGGACCCCACAGCCTCTCCAGAGCTCTGCCTGGCCTTGTACAAGATTGGTAGAAGCCCCTGAGGTCTCCAGACTGGCCCACCCCACACACCTCTGCCTCCCTCCTCAGGTCCCCGAGGAGTCGGCACAAACAAGCACACTTGTCGCTAGTGCAGGAAGGGCACAGGTGTCCCTGCACTGAAACTCCTGGTATTGAACTTTACTTTTCTCATGACAGCTTTGCGGTGTGTGTGACACAGGATCCCCTTCCTGTTTTCTTATATTTCTGATTAATGTAAAATTATGATACTAGGGCGTCTTATTTTTATAAGATGTACCTGTGTTGAACAAAGGATATTCTGACACAAATGGACGCTCTGCTGTGCTCCACGGCGTGCGCTCACACAGCACGCTGGGGCGTCAGTTCTCTGGGAGGTAAAACATGAACTCTGAGAGGCTCCGGTAGGTCCGAACGCCCAACGTCTGCAGCAGCAACCCTCCACTGTGTCAGTCACCGCGTCCGGAATTCACTTTCCTTCAGAACAATCTGAAGAGGACATTTTCCCCAGCGCTCACTGCACCAGTCTCAACTGACAGCATGGCCGCTGAGTACCCCGGGTTCCTGAGACCTCCTGGGACCCCGTCAGCGCACCCGCGAGGTCCTCCCCCTCCCACTCGTGTATCGCAGTGAGGCCAGATGTTTTCCATGTACTTTAAACAACACAAATTGGGTGCTGGAGCGGGTGAGAGCCAAGTCATCTTCTAAGACGTGAGAGTAAGAGCCGCGCACGATGGTGCCACTCTCCTCACTGAATGCTTTCTCTTTTGCAAAGCAGAGAGGTTTTTTCTTTTCTTTTTTTTACAGGCAGAGTGGACAGTGAGAGAGAGAGACAGAGAGAAAGGTCTTCCTTTGCTGTTGGTTCACCCTCCAATGGCCGCGCAGCCAGTGCACTGCGGCCGGTGCACCGCGCTGATCCAATGGCAGGAGCCAGGTGCTTCTCCTGGTCTCCCATGGGATGCAGGGCCCAAGCACTTGGGCCATCCTCCACTGCACTCCCTGGCCACAGCAGAGAGCTGGCCTGGAAGAGCGGCAACCGGGACAGAATCCGGCGCCCCGACCGGGACTAGAACCTGGTGTGCCGGCGCCGCAAGGCGGAGGATTAGCCTATTGAGCCTCGGCACTGGCCCTAGCAGAGAGGTTTTCATTAACACATCACCTCCAAATGTAACAGGTTTATCACTGTCATTTAAAAATCAAGATTTAAAAACTTTCAATGTCTTAAACATGGACAGTACATGTGTGTCATCACTGGTGTCCTCAACAATGTCCCAGGCATGCAGGGCTCCCAAGGCCAGAGCATTGGAGAGCCATTACTTCCGAGAACTTCACATTACCAACCGAGAACAGAATGCGGAGGAGGAAGTAAAAGAAATGTGCGCTGGCAGCCACCTCAGTGGAAGAACAAGTTGTGAGCCCGGGAGCCTGGCCGCAGGCTGAGAAGCAGCTCAGGGGACGCAGGGAGCAAACACCACGACCCGGGAGACACAGTGAGTGACGAAGCCTGGACCCGAGTCTCAGCCCTGGAACCCGGGCCCAGCAGAGGGGAGAGGGGACATGGAGAAAAGAGAACCTGACAGGGCCGTGGCTGGGACACCAAGCGCCGGTGCCCACGGTGTCACAGCTCGGAGGTCACACGGGGTCCTGACGGCTGGCTCATCTCTGCTAGCCTGAGATGCCTCTGGTTCCAGAAGTGAGTGCTATCCCCCACTCCTGCACTCCCTCCCAAACCACCAGGAGCCCCATGGACAGGCTCCGCCCTCCTGTGCCGCCCACTCAGCGAGGCTCCGCCCTCCCGTGCCGCCCACTCAGCGAGCTCTCCTCTCCTAGAAAACCCCACCACGCAAGCCACAGGGGTCACTGGGTGGCGGAATGACCGCCGTCATCACCACGTCTCACTGGCCCCAACGACCTTGGAAGCCTGGCCCACACCTGGGCCCACAGAGTACCCTGAAGGGTGGCATCATTGCGACCCTAACGGTGGCTTTTGCCACAGCAACGTTCCACACTGGTGCTTGTCTGGAAGGTGCGAGTGAGGGAAAGCGGCACACAGGAAGGTGGGAGACGCAGAGCAGCCAGGTGGGGCTCCTGCACTGCGAGGTGGAGACAGCAGACCGGCCGTCCTGTCTGCCTTGCTCAAGGCACTGCACAGGGCGTGCGGGGTTTGAGGAGGCCCCCGGGGGAGGATGGAGGAGGACAGAGGGGATTCACCTGCCCAGAAGCCTCCTCCTCCTGCTGGGCCTTCCCTAGCTGTGGGGAGGCACCTGTGATGCACACTGTCTCTGGGCAGCCCAGACCCCATCCAAACCCAAAGTGGCTGGAAGTGCAAGGATGTCAGGTGCTGCTGGCTGGCTCCCTGCGAGACACGGCCCAGGGCAGCGTGGCCACTCCTGGCTTGGGCGCAGGTGGGCAGAGGGACCCTGGGGAGGCCCCCCGGTGTCTAGCCCAGCCCAGGGCACTTGAGACCACAGGGTTCACAGGCGCTGTCCCACAGCACAGCTGGGAGCACCCTGCCTCCCCTGCACTCTGTGGCCCTGGTGCTGGCCGCCAGCAGGGAATGGGAAATCGGCAAACAGCTCAGCTCCTGGCCGCTCTTCACAGCCTCGCTGCAGCTCCTCTCCCACCACCCCAAGGACCCCATGGCTTCTGACATACTTATTTTTAAATTATTTATTTATTTTAAAAGTTAAAGAGTTAAAGAGAGAGAGAGAGAGAATATCTTCTTTAGGCTGGTTCACTCCCCAGATGGCTACAACATCCA